ATTACACATTTGGGCAATTCCACGTTAATGTTACGTTAGTCTGTACTTAACTATACGTATTTCACTAAAAAATGCAACATTTTACTCGGTTTTTGGCAGATTTTTATGTGACTAACATAAGGCTACTGTGGAAGTGCCCATTTCGGTTACAACGACATTCGTTTATAACGACACTATTTTTAGGTCCCTTTGATGACGTTATAACCAAGTTCTACTGTAGTTCTTTTTAACACTCATCATAATGTCTGTGACTGAAATATCATTATTTTGTACAGACATCCATAAATTTAGGGCAAGAAAAGTGAAATGGGTGGGATATATAGCTTACATACCTGAAAGGAACAGGCTGCCCGAGAGTTCAGGTGCAGACAGGAGAATAATATTAAAATGTATCTAATGTGTGGAAGTTACTCAGATTCAATTGGATTAGGATAGATTCCTGTGAACATGGTAATGAACTTTCAGTTTCAAGGGGGGCAGGGGATTTCTTGACCAGAGGAGTAACCATCACTTCAGGCCATGCCACAGCAAAAGCGGTTAGTCGCTGGCTTCCCACCGCGGTGGCTCGGGTTGGATCCCGGTTCTGGTCAAGTGGGATTTGTGGTGGACAAAGTGGTACTGGGGCAGGTTTTCTCCAAGTACTTCAGTTTCCCCTGCCAATCTTCATTCCACCAATTGCTCCACAATCACCCTCACCTATCATCTGGGGCTGGTACAGTAGGCCAGAAGTGGCCACAGTACATGGGACTTAGTCCCACCCTACTGGCAATAAAAAAAACCATCAGTTTCCAATGAAAGTTTCCATCCCATGAAGATAATTGCGAGTATGTGTGTTTTTGTGTTGCTGTGCTACATTAAGGCCAACTTTCTTCAAAAGGAATACCAGGTCATATATCCGGAAACTGACTCTCACTTTCATCGACACACATAGGCAATGCCATACCGTTTGATTACATCAGATAATGAGGTAATGTCTGATTCACAGTGAAATTTCAGGTCCATGTATATTCACTAATTAACAGTATTTTCCCACTATACTGATGACCTCGGTGAATAAATTTCTGCCCTAACAAAAATTAATTTCACTCTTTTCTGTAGTCTGGATTCAAGTCCCATTGCAATAGAAACTTGAGCACAGAACAGATTCAATACACTACTTCTATAAAATAGAAACATCCTTAAGAAGCTTAGACATGGAAATACTCATGAAATTCACTTCTTTAATGGACTCGAAAGATTATTACCCAGCTCACAACAGCTTGCCCGAGTCTGACGCATCAAATTAACAGCATCCCTCTCAACTTCTTTAACATCAAATTTAATATTATCCTGTCATGTGCCTAGAACTTCCAAGAATTCACCTCTCATTTCAGATATTCAAACGGAAACTTTGCATGCATCCATCATCTCTCCAAGTATGCTGTATGCCCCACCTGTCTCATTCAGCTCCACTTTGTCATTCAAATCATATTTTGCGAAGAGAATAAATTATGAAGCTCTTCATTATGCAGTTTTCTCCAACCTCCTGCCACTCTCTCCCTCTTATGTCCAATTAATTTCCTCGGTACTCTGCTGTACTAATGGCATATTCAAAGAAAAGCTGAACAGTAGGTCATCTTGAACAGGAGACACATCAGACAAATGTTTACCTAACCTAACCTGACATTTAAACACCTTTTAATTAGCCTCAATGGTTTCACTTTCTTTTTTCACTGGCTTTACAGCCCCCTTGTGCCCTAACCTCTGATTTTCAGTTTCATGATCATTTTACAGACGGTAGGACTTCTTGGATGAGTGATCCGCCCGTTGCAAGACCTCTACGTAAACACAGAACAACATAAACACAGAACAAACACATACACATACCAAACATCCATGCCTTGTGTGGGATTCGAACCCACAATCACGGCTTCAAAGTGAACGAAGATAGTACATGCCTTAGACAGCTCGGTTACTGTGACCAGTCACCGGATTCACATATACACCAAATTCAATGAGAATACTGTGCAACACTTCCCTCCTAACTGAATCACTCACATACTGTCCCACTGTCTTCCCATTTTTCTGAAATATTTGACAAATGCAGAATTTTTGAAAAAGAATCCTTCATAGTTATGTGTACCTCCTCTGGGCATAAAATTCAACTTCAAAAATTTCTGGCCTCAAATACATGTATATCAGAGAATATCTGAAGGCATTCACATTTTCATGATCTGGAGCAGACTGGTGAAAGTCCCATTTTTATGATGCTATCTGTTCTGAGCTCTGTAGATATTATAGATCAGGAACATACAAAGACTGAAAGACTGGACTACGATATGACAAGATGCAACATTTAATTTTTATGAAGAATTTGAAGTTTCTTCTTATCTAATCCATGAATTGTAAAATTTCAACATAATGAAATTCAAAAGACCAGCATTTCTGGAGTTTGGTGTAAGGGCATTCATAATCTGTATGTTTATGTTACAGGGATGGGATGTTTCACTGCATATTATACACAGCTTTTAATAAAATATCAATGTAACAGATGATTGTTGTCATGACTGGAAATAATTTATGATGACTGATGGCTATTAAATGCTTCAGAATTCATAGCATCAACTGAAAGCTATGACAGAAAAGTCTTACTCACTGATCAAAAGTCATCATGTGACGTGGAAGTCTCAGCGTCACATAACTCTTGGTCTTTTCCGCATATCTGATAGCCATTAATTTAAAATGTTCATTATCTGCAGTTCATGTGAATGAAGTGCTCTTTTGACTCTACAGTCCATTATGATTGCATGATCAAATTTATTAACTGTCCGATTAATAGACGCAATATAACTCCGAACGAATAACATTATGTACCATCTTTTACATCAGTTATTAAAAATCCCCATAAAACATTACTGTGCCCGCATAAACTAAGCAACATCTGGAAATTGTGGCATGCCCCAAAACATGCATATCATTATAAGAGTATTTTCATTTTTAGCATTATTCTCTGTGATTAAACAGTAGCAAAGATGTCAGATAAGCAGTGCTTTTTTATAAAAACATATCTGCTGGTATTCTCATGCTGAGTTTACGCCTGAAGTTTGAAATGTTAGTCAAACAAGATATAAGTGCCCATGGCTGAATTGTGAACTACTAAGTAGTGAGTGGCAGCATCATACTAGTAATATATGGATGCGAGCAGCTGGTTACTTCTAACACTGGTCTGAACAAAACACGCCACTGTATCTCACGTGAAGTAATCAGTTACTTCCACATGGTAGTTCATGTTTATATCAGCTACCCAGTGGTGATTAACCAACGCTGCAATTAGAATTGGCCCACTGGCACACCTACACAAGCCCCTTTGACTTTTAACTTCTTTGTGCACAGGACAAGGGGTACAATAGTATAAGCATGATAAATCCAGATTTCTTGGTTCAGATGATGTCAAGAATGTTGAATTATTCTTCTTTTTTTCATAGCTCCACAATAATCACTTCAAGAAAGAATAAATGATGCTGTACCTGTATTATGGACTTTAAATCTCAGAGCCATGCATGAAACATGTAACTAGAACTCATGACAGAGACTTGAAGATTAGGTACAACTATTTTTAAATATTATGAGTACCTATTAGAATATTCTTCATAGCACTAAACAGGTTTATTGAGAGTATGAGACATCATTACCATATAACACATCAGTAAAAGGGAAACTGTGCGGATGCTGTACCCTATCATTTTCACTATCATTACCATTACTAAACATTTTCACCATATCTTGCTCAGGCAACTGGCTATCCTGTCTTGAGGCTTACTCCAGGGTTTCCTTGCTTTCATCATGCAAACACCTGAAATCATGCCATGACAGCTCTCTTCCGCACCATTTCCAATTCATTATTCACTAATGTTTCTATAATTCAACAGCCTGAGGTACTGAGTGTTGTTAAATAAACAACAAATAAATACATAAATACATGAATAAATAAATAAATATAACACCTTCATTGCAACCACTCATACTCAGTATACATACTCCTCCCAACTGATTATATAAATATTCTGTTGAAAATATAAGTCCCTTGTAATCACTTTTCACGCTTTGTTACATCAAGTTTGCTAATGCCTTTATACCATGTGATTCCGTTTTGAGCAAAAAAAAAAATTGCTCTTTTTCAGAAAAACGATAATATAATAATATCAATATTGGCTTACAGATAATTTTTTGTAAATTTCCTGTATATTTTGAGGAAGTTTAACATACTCTGTCCAATTAAATAAGAAGGCATACATAGACATAATAATGTAATGCCCAGGGCCCGGATTTTGACGACATGTCATCTTTTCTTCCTTGTATCCTATGTGATGCTCTTAAATATATAAATCTCGGATATGAGCTGCTGGTTACAGAAATGTAAATTTTATAGGTAATTTTTGTCATTTTTAGGTTTAAGGTAATTTTTTGGTAAATTTTTGGACTTTTAAGGGTATTTCTTGTCATTTCTGGCCATTTTAAGGAATTTTTCTTCATATGTTTTCTGAAATGTGAATAATATGGAAGCGAAGTGTTCTTTCTTTTCTCCTTTAGGTCGTTTTTCTGGATTTTTTCAGTCAGTTTTTAAATATTTTCAGGTCATCAAAATCCGTGCCCTGCATATTACATTTCTGGGTCATTTTTCAGCCATTTTATAGGTCTTTTTTAAATATTTTCAGGTCATCAAAATCCGTGCCCTGCATATTACATTTCTGGGTCATTTTTCAGCCATTTTATAGGTCTTTTTTAAATATTTTCAGGTCATCAAAATCCAGGCCCTGGTAATGACATATTTGATAAGAGTCTAAAACAATGTGGCAGGTTTCAACATGTGTGACAGCGAAGTCGCTCCCCATATTAGAAAAATGTACATTTACTTATGATTTCAACAGAATTTACATTAAATTATTAACATTAGCAATACTTAAGGAAATATTTTTTGATCTTCTTTAGCCAGTTGTTAAAAAAAAAGTGGAAGCCTCGACGTCTCACAATCCAACCTGTTGCAGGGATACCTCTATATTTTTTTCTTTACTTTTCTTTTCTTCTTTCTTCTCTTTTGTGCTCTTCAGTGACATGACATACTATCTCAAGCTTGCATGTTGCCATCCCATGAACTCAGCACATCAAGATATGTTGCTAACTTGTCTTTAGCATGACTGATTTTCAAGGTATTTTGTTAAGTGGCAACAATACAAGTTTCAATCCAAAATCTGACAATTGCTAGTTGTGATATGGCATATTAAATATCCCACAGCTGTTTTGCTGACAAAGCTTTATATCTTGTGTGAACCTCACAGAATTACTACTTTACTATCTGACATACTCTGTACTTTGAACAGTGTGTTATGTGAATCACATGCCTGGCATTTATGCTAGCTCCCAGAAGTATTCTTTGATTTCTGTTGCTGAATGATAAGTTTGTTCTTCTGTCTGGTAACTTTTGTTGTTGGTACTGAACCTGAGCCTTGGAGCTGTTTCAAGTTCTGCTGAGGTATTGTGACAGGACTCACACTTCTACTTCTTCTTCTCCTTACTGCAAAACAAAATAATGGCTTTATGTTTAACAAATCTTTCAAGCACTCACAAAAATTACAGAAGGGTAATAATCAAGAGTCCAACTGGGCGCACTCGCCACAGCGGCCACTGATTGGCCTATTGTAGCCTGCCCCGGGTGATTATTACAACAGAGAATTTGGTGGAATGAAGATTGGCAGGGGAAGGCGAAGTATTCGGAGAACCCCCCCCCCCAGCGCCACTTTGTTCACCACAAATCCCACTTGACCAGACCCGGGATCGAATCCAGGGCGCCATGGTGGGAAGCCAGTGACTCACCACTTATGTCATGGTGCGGCCTGAGAGTCAATAAGAGTTCCAAGGCAGAAATAAAAATAAATATGCAAATAAAAAAGTTAAAAATAAGACATGCTTCCACGTGAAGACAACAGTTATATAGCTGTGGTAGGTATGAAAATATAAGAAAAAATAAAATGTTCTTGAACAGTAATTAATTATTTTTTTAATTTGCTTAGTGGGGGGTGGAGTCCAACTGAGTCCACTCAGCATGGTGGCCACTGAATGGCCTACTATAGCCTGCCTGGGGTGGTTATGATGATGGAGAATTTGGTGGAATGAAGATTGGCAGGGGAAACCGAAGTGCTCGGAGAAAACCTGCCACAGCGCCACTTTGTCCACCACAAATTCCACTTGACCAAACCCGGGATCGAACCAGGGCCACCGCGGTGGGAACCCAGCAACTAATCACTTGAGCTATGGTGCGGCCATTTCTTGAACAGTAACTTTCATAAATCTGTGATAAAGTGATAACTTGACAGCATGGGAAATAGTCTTCAAGCAGCGCATCCATTCTACAGGATGTGAAATAGTACATTAGAAACTATCAATTCACAAGGGTTCAAGAACTTTAAATTTCATGCCAGGTAATGAAATTGTTACAGACAAGCAGGAAAAATGGGTCATATAAATTTGAAGTTTTCAGTTATTATAATGGGACAACAGCAGAAATGATTCATTCATTATTTTCATGTTGCTTGCTTGCAAGTAACTCTAGTGAATGAAAATGCATTTGTTTGTGTCCCAGTGTGTTCTGAGTATGAAATATGTGTACATGACATTACTATTACAGCATATATGAAAAAGTCTGGACGTATCAAAGGTCTTATTATATAGAAGTCAATACACTTGTGCATTTTTTTTGGTTGGTCACACAGCACTGTTCACTGGCTACATTAGTATATAAAATGCTTTAAAACTGTTATAATTTTTGTACAAATTGCATGTTTTCTAAGTTGTCAAAATATTATGCTGATGGCCCTGAATGTGTACAGTCTAAAACTACTGCATTGCCATTACTTTAACACTTCTAACATGAGGAATTTAGAGAGATATATGTCAGTGAAATTCAATGCACAATTTTCATTTTGGATTTAGTCAAAACTGCTAGGTTATTCTGTAAGTGATTAAAGAAACAGGCAGATAGGTATGAATTCTCTAGTACAGTGTCATGATTTTCCAAAACATACCCAGACTGCTATGCTCATAATATTTCAAAATAACTAATAAGGTTTTTATGCTGCTCACCTCTTGCATCAGTCTTCAACAATGCTTCTAAGTCTTGGATCCTCTTTTTCAAAATTTTGTTCTCACGTTTATATTTTCCAAGTTCCGCATCACTGTTGAGATGCAGGTGGCGACTGGCAGCTTCAGTACCTGAGCTACCGCTTGACTCTTCAGCGAAATGACGTAACATAACATGAAGTTTTTCCTGGTGCTCTTTCTGCAATACAACGATCCGTCGCTCTGCCTCAAAATGGGTCTGTTGAAGAGCATTGATTAATGCCTGGATCTTCCAAGCCTGAGCCTCTGTCTGCAACTGGAATGGAAAGCAGCGTATGAGGACATATTATAAAAGTGAAGTAACTTAACACGTTTGAGAATACATGTTTAACACTTCAGCTAAAGGCAATTACATGATATTTATCAAGCATTCTATAACAGAGAGTTCGATAAGACACTATGCTACAAGCTGGAAGGTTGTAGGTTTTATTTCCAATAAGGTCACTCGATTTTCCAATTGACCTAATCCTCTGAGCCACACTATGGCCCTCGGGTCAACTCAACCTCTAACAGAAATGAGTACCAGGAATCTTCCTGGGTGTAAAGGCCGGCCAGCACGTATGGCTGACAACTTCATCGCCATCTGTGAGCTGACTGCCTAAAATATGTGGGTGCCTCAATGTATCACAACCCTATGTGGTTCCATGACCTGTTACAGGGATAGCTTCACCCTACAAAAAATATGTGAAGTCTAATGAAGCTATATCATATACAGATAATATGGAATCATTCTAAAACATAATTCAATCACCAAAATAATCAGAACCTCAAAAGTCCTACTTCATTTTTACTGCTCTGTTTGTTTTCAGCAAACATATACACCAGTTATGTAAGTTTTGAGGTTTTCACGGCGATGACAATGAAGAAAGTCGTCTTCTNCATATACACCAGTTATTCAATAGTAAGCTTCTGACTTATCTTCATTTGTTTCAGCAAAATATACTAAGTACTTCAAAATGAGCCATGTAAGTATCATTTCAACTGATTTTTAACTTGCAGCTCAAAAAGTCATCACACGATCATTAAGAGATCCTGACATACTGAGCCTCTAATAATGATGTCACTCAGAGGATAATGTCATCACCTACTTGATAAAACGGAGTATACCGATTAAAATGTAATATTGTCATGTAATCAGAATTTAATTTAATTCATCTATTGAAGCGAAAAATATAAATCTCCCTCCAATACAGAAAAATTACCATCACATGCATAAGTATGGCATTATGCTGATGCCATGAAGTACTCCTGCACTCACATACAGATGAGAAACAAATTCATTTGTTTTCTCCCAATGCCACTGACAAGTTACTGTCAAATGTGCTCAACTGAACAATCATTCTGTGGTGAAACATGAATGCAATCTCTCAGGAAGCTTTAAAATTATGCTCTAGAAAGTAAATATTTCTATACATAGTAGAGTGCATGAAGGTTCTGAAATGGAATACAACATGAGTCCCCGACCATAAGCAGAATTACAAGGTACAAAATTCAGCCACAAACCTAAATAATAAAATTCTCATGCAACAATATACAACAAGCCAGGTTTCTAGGCAGACTGTACTTTCACATTTCACTAGCGATGGTAATTTACATTAATGCTTTTGTTGAGATTAGAGAGACTAAATTTAATACATTGTCATATTTTATTTTATTTTTATTCATTTTTATTTGGTTTATTACATTAATTGGGGCATGCGGTAGTGTAGTTGGTTGAGGCACTATGCTACAAGCCAGAAGGTCATGGGTTCAAGTCCCGATGAGGTCATTGGATTTTTTCAATTGACCTAATCCTTCCAGCCACACTATGGCCCTGGGGTTAACTCAGCCTCTAACAGAAATGAGTACCAGGAATGTTCCTGTGGGGGTAAAAGGCGGCCAGCACATAAGGCCGACAACCTTACTGCCATTTGTGAGCCCACTGTGTAGAAGGTGTAGGAGCCTCAACCTCTCACAACCCTATGGGCCTTCATGGCCTATTACGGGGACAACTTTACCTTTTTTATTATATTAAATAATGACTTATATGTGAAGGAACCATATTACAATTAGTCTAAAACGGAGGTGTAGATCAGACATACACAATTTTCAGCCTTTCTGTTTACAGGATTCTGAACAATTTCAATGACAAACATGTGATAGAGCTATTTGATACCAGCAGACAGCAGTCAGACTATGCATCTGTTGAACCAGTGACAAAAACAAGAAGTTCTGGGAAGAACTAATTGCCTGCTTTCCTTTGATATGACACAGATCATATAGAAAACAATGTCCCCAATAATTATTTGTTTCTGTGGCAATGTTTTTACTAACTTATTAATCTAACAATAATAGGGGGACACACAGATACCCACAGACATGCGGATCGAACAGTTCTCCTATTGTGGTGTGTACTCATTGTTGTGGGAATGTGTTTACCAAGCCACTGACTAGCATCGAATGGAGGAATACACTTAACTGAGCTTTTGCCTAGCAACGACAGGAGGGTTAGAGACACAGAATGATGGAAGATATTTATAAAGTAGGCCACTGAGAAGGGTTCAATCGCCATGATATACACATTGAATTTCATAACAACTGGTTCAGGCATTAAAAAGTTAATGGGGGGAAAGTTTTCATTTTAGTCATTAAACATAAGTGCCATTAGACAACATAACATTTTAGTGAAAGTTTCATATTGGTTGGTTCTGAACCACACTTATTACAATTGTTGTAGTGCTTTTATAAAACTCAGGTTTACAGCAGGTGGTAGACACAATATGTCTGCCAACAAAACAAGTGCATCCCAAGAGAAGAAGTTCAGGTTATTTTTGGATGTGCTGAAGACTTATCTGATTTTCCTCAGGAAATATACCTATGTAGGGAAAGGTAGTATTCCTCCACAAATTCTTAACACTTTTCTTCTGTACCTACAAAAGAGCCCTGCTCATTACAAATAATTTGACTGCAGCATCCATTAAATTAATGCTATTTGAATGATCACAGAACAGCCTTAAATGTAACACAATGCATGACACAATACAATATTTTTAGTGAAGTGATTTACACCCTGATCCCTTTGTAGAATAATATTGTAAGAATGAAGAAAGCTGTCCAGAAACAAATTTCTGTGATAAATGTAATCGCATTTGGAAACATATTTTATTTATAAGGTCCTCTGTTGTTGCCTTGTGAACTTCAGAACTGCTGCACCATGATCAAGAGTCAACAAGTGGAGTTATTATTTCTTACTTTGATTGCTGCCAAAAAAAAGAAAAAGAAAAAAGAAAAATAGAGCCAACAGATGGGCCCTTCATGTTATTTGTCATGATATGAATGCTAAATTGAAGAAAAAAGTACATAAAGGAGATTTAACACTGTGAAAATGGGAATGGACATATACAAATTAAGCACTGTATCAGGAAAATTCTTAACCTGAAAACATTACATGAGGATCCAATATAATTCAAGCTGTCAATGGTCCCTGATCAAAACTTTGATTCAAATCAAATAATCCCGAATCTTCCTCTTACCTCAAGCATCACAAAATTAATTACAGTAAACTCCCAATTATCTGACATGTTGCAAATGGAAAACCCCTACAAGAAGTCAAAACATATTTTTACTACAGTTCTTGTGTGGAAGTCTTCTTAAGCAACAAGACGGATTGATAGGTGACAGACTTCAGATATGCTGTAACACAATCACAAATTCTACTAGCCTCTACTGCAATGACATCTATGTGAGGGAGGATGATGGGCAGCAGTGTTAATGGCGGCTGGACGAATTACCACACGAGTATGCTCATCACATTCACTCACTCATGGGGCTGAGCCATTCTCAAGAAGCTGCCAACTGTGCAGCTACTCAAGCATTTCCCAGCATTTTATGGAACCCGAATGTTCATTACTGCGTTCACAAGAGCCCTCCAGCCGTCCCTATCCTGAGCCAGATAAATACAATCCATACCATCCCATACTATCTCTTCAAGGTCCATTTTAATATTGTGAATATTTTTGTAATAAGCTTATTTTTATGGCGCAGAGTTAGCTCCAAGCCCAACTCCAAGCTGGAGGACCACCCCTTGTCAGCTGTCCGCGACAGCTTATTCAATATATTCGCAGCTTCCCTCCATACATGGAGGGCATTTCATCCATCCTCAACCTGAGGACATGCTATGCCGTGGTGACAAGGAACCCACCTAACATGGATATGCTCATAACATCTCTGTTTAACTAACATTACAAAACCAGCAAATTTTCTTTGAAATTTTTGCCAGTTGCATAAGAATTCTGAATGGAAGGATACTTGATAGCTGGAAATTTACTGTATTCAGGCAACAGAAAAATGGATGAGCAAAACGTGGCTATAAAAAGGGCAACTCAAAATATCAGAGCATGTGCTGGAACAATGGGCATGAGGAGACAGGGATTCTTTAGTTTTCAGAAGTAGAACTGTACTCAAACCAAGTCAGCTTGTTGGACACTGAACTGACAAACCAATACTGTGGCATATCTATGTCATGCAAGGATCAATGAGCCACAGAAATCTGTAAACATGGAGATTATGCAACAATAAGGAAAGCGGCGTTCTCCCCGTATTGTACCGCGCCGAGTCGAGCCACACCGGGTTCGTTGCTAGGCAGCGCTGTGGTAAACACATCTTGGCAGCAGCTAATTGATGTGTTACTGGGCAACACCTCTGTAGACGCGACTATTACGTAACAGTAGAGCAAGCTGTTTTCTGCATGTCCATGCAAGGGTTTATAGAACTGGAATTCCAAGAAGGTAGTTCTTGGAGTGAGTTCTTGGTGTGAGACAACCAAGGGAGGTTTGTAGTGGTAGAACTGAACGTGCAATTTGAAGGTTTTATGAGTGCTACTGTGCAGTGATAATGGGAATGTGAGGTTCAGTGAGATGTTTATAGCTCCCGTGTTATATATACGTGAAGACTGGTGGCGATAGACTACAGAGATTAATGTAAGAGTGAGAGTAAATTGTGTAACTCAGTAACAGTGTTATAATTAACTGTAGTTACAGCCTGTGGGCTGTTAATAAAACCAATTACCAATCTGAACCCAATTTCTAGTCACTAATCAACACATGACAATACTATGCCATTACATAGGTTCATCAACACTTGACACTGAGAAAATACAGAAAAAAGAAATGAATTAAGATTGTATAGCAACTAAGAAAAGTAACTGAAGGAACTTACTTCTAGCTCTGCAAGTTGAACTTCCATCTTGCTGCCATTCTCTTTAAGGTCTATTACTTTCTGGAAATATTTGTAGAGCAGAGTTCTCATCTCAATAGGCGAAAGCTTCATCAGTCGCTCTAAAAGTAACTTCTCACCCTGCAATCAGGTGCTTCCCATCTAAGACTACAATGTACCTGACTGACAAATGTATGAACAATCTCTTTATATTTAATAAAGTATGGATGGGACACATCAGCGTCTCAGCTTGGATCTCACTCAGAACCATTCAACATGGTAAGTCAATACTTTGTACACAACGAAACTTCCAAAACAATGCAGTATTATAGCCTTTTCCTTTAACAAAAGAAACAATAATTTGGGTTTCTCATGACAATTTATGAAGCCTTGTGCCTTGACATATGAGATTTAGCAAAGCCTTAGGTAACAGGTATACTCTGAATGTGGTAAATGATGCAACAGAATATGGTTCATTCCCCAATTAACCTTATACTGGGATAATTATTTATTTCACTAATATGGATGTTTCATGTAACCAAGTTTGATAAATAAGCACTTCACAAATAATTACACACATAAATTTCACTTTACAATGACAGAACCTTAATTTATATCACATTTCAGAATCAGGGTTGACACGTACAGTGTATTCAAAATTTCTCCATTACTGATGGCCAAATCAACTGTCTTTATGTATTTGGCTACTGAACATTTATGTCACTGGTTAGCTTTGTGCCTTGTGCACTAGACCATATCATTCTGTGCAAGGAGTTACTTAAAAAGGTTTCACACTCTTTTAAATACTTTTGCATACATGTACATACCACTCCATGCTGAATATGTGACTTTCATACCCTCCGACCATCTTAATAACAGCTGTATTCTTGAAAGAAATTAAGCAATATTTTAAACTTCAGAAATAGCATAAAAATCATAATAAGTATCACTGGTAGCTGACAGCAACCAACCAACATTCTATGTATCCTAAAAACTATATAAAGTTAGTCTCAAATGATGATGTACTATATCAATAGATACTCGTATAAAGACATGGAAAACGATAAAGTCTTTTAACCTACCTTTTCCCTCTCAACACGGCTGTTATCCAAACCTTGCCCTTTCCTTCCACATATTAATTCATTCTTATATTCAATTGCAGCGTCAATGGCTTCAATTGCTTCTTCACACTCCAGCATCTTCCTCTCTTCGATTGATGACAGCTTTTTGTCCTGAAAAGATTATTACACTGTAACAGTAACACACACACACACATATATATATATATAGCTTTATCATCTTATTATTTCTATTTACATGTTGTGGCATGTCCAGTGAAAGCCAGAATAGTTCAATCAGCAGATATGGCCATTGTAAGGTAATAGCTCTGTAAACACATTTCTACAGCTACCAGGTCACGTGACCATGACCTGACTTATATGCAACAGAGGAACACGTTCCGCCCGTATCTGCAGGGATGTCATATAACGACTGAGGAATTGTGGGAAATGGTGTTGTCTGCTGGGTCCGTGCAGAGGCTATATAACGAGAATTCGCAGACAGACCAATCCAAATCTCAGGCTGCTGTGGGACAGTCACTCTTGGTGCAGACATGGGAGGTGGAGGAGCCCCCACTGCTTAAGTTGTTCTATAGCAACACTGAGTTAGTTCCAACAGTCACCAGCCAGGAAGGATGTAAAACAGGGAAGATGAAGGATATACAGTGTTGGGAGTGTTACCAGGCAACAACTGGTGAAGACACAGCAGACTGAGAAGAATTAGTGCATGCTGTACTGAAATGTAGAGTGTGTCAATCAGCAACAGTGCCACAGTTATTTGTAGTTATAATCATTAACTGTTCAATAAATCTGATTACCAATCCAAAACCCATGTGTAGTCATTAACATGTGACAATATTCCATTTCCAAGACTGATTAACAGATTATTTGCTATTGTAATAAGGTAATCACTAAAATTTCCCGAGACAGTCAATTATTCTGACTGTATGCTCATTTACCTTCTGAAGTTTTTCATCCAAACCACACCGTTCTTTTGAAAGGCATTCTTTTGTCTTTCGGAGGCTATGAATTTCATGTCTTAAGGCTTCCTTTTCATCCAGATCTTCAGTTTTTTCCAAATCTGTTGATTTTTCTTTCAACACCTGCTCTAAATGAGATATTCTTGCACTCATTTCCCTTATACTCTGAAAGTCACAAACATGTGTATGATTAGCATAGTCAGAACCACTACTGTCTTACACAGACAATTAGTAGAGTAAAAAAACACTTATGACTTTTAAACAGATCATCACTTCCATATTTTCCAGCATCTCTTCCAAAGGTATTATAAACTCAGCATACTTCACCTTGTAAGTAGTTCCCTAACTCAATCTCATGGAATGATATAAGCTTAAAAGCAGGATATACTCATATATTCAGATTGTATGAAATATCACATAAAATATAATCAATTATTTGAATGTGGGTTAACTCAGGTGAACGCTAACAACGATTCTACATAACACTGCATTCAGAAATCCTAGCCATTCCTCACTTTCTACCATATTTTTACCATCAAACATGGATTTTGAAAGTTTATAGAAGTAAAACTGTTCACATGCAAGATCTGAAGATTACATCACATTAAACCAGAATCATTCATTTTATACCACAATTAGTGTACTTAGTGCAAATCTTGATTCCATATACGAGGCAAATATAACTGTACTATTTCTTTAAGTGGAAAGTTCTTTAACCGGTGCAAAGAATGAGCGAGAATAACAATGCTGCTGCTAGAAACATTCAACACTGAAGCACTGCTGGAAATTCACAGCCCAATTCATGAATCATCAAGCAAAGTAAGTAAAAAATCAAAGGAAATGAATGTAAACAGAAACCAAAAATGTACACCTTCTGAATTCCTAACAACGCACATGTACTGGCATAACTTAACATACCGCAGTCTAGCGGAACACTGCATAGTTACACGTATGGTTATCAATGTCTTAGAGAAACATGTTACCTCCATCTTCAAGGCTGAATTCTTCTGCCACTTTCATGATTACACAGTACTGCAACCCAGGAGGTCATACTGCCATAAAATCTCACATAATTTCTATGTGTCCAGCAAAAAATAAGTCAACTTTAATTCTGTTTAGGAAACCATGTTAAGCACAAAACAGCCCACAAATCTCTCCAATAAGAACTGTATGGTAACATTAATTTGTTAATGGCAGAACAAATTTTAACATGATTTCATGATCATATTGACTGGAGAGCATACAGAAGCTATTACTTCAGAACTAAAATATCACTACAACAGGCACCCATAAAATAATGAATTTTCTTCACCTTATATAAAAAGAGAAAAATCATTTAAATAAATATAACAGAGTGTTTATATTGGTGAAAAGAAGACACAAGTAATAGATTCATAAAGTTCAAATTTTTTGCATAAAAAAATAAATACATGTTATTCATATGTATACTGTAAATGTGACATATAGCTGTTACCTGAACATCCAGATTTTGAACAGACATACTTAAAAAGAGAAAGAAAACAGTTCAATTCTTAAACTACTTATTTCATCATTGCATACGGAACATCACTCATGTCCAAAGATATCAGAGGAATTTTTTTTTAAGGGGGGGATATTAAACGATGCTTTTAGCGCGGAGACTATATGGGGTCAAATGACAGGATGACTAATGGATGATGAACTGGTAACAATTTGGAAGGAAGTGGTCATGGCCTAATCAGCGAGCCTGTAACACTCCAAGACAAAATACTTCTCATTCAAAACATTTTAGCACATAGTTCTTTCCTTAGAAATATAGACATTTTATGCTGTTCTTTTTACAGTGGAATACTGCAAAAAAAATGGATCAGCATGCAGATCAGTCAAGACCAGATGTACTGGGAGTGAAAACTGTTAATCACTAATAACTGTATTTACTATAGGATTCTGACAATGGTGTATAACACACAGAGATATTGGGTTTTCAGACTTTATCCATCATCCTGGTTTTAAGATAACTAAGAAAAACATGACGTTTCGGAAACTGGATCTGTTTCCGTCCTCAGGTGAGGGAGAACACCTATTCTGTTGGGTCCCTTAGAAAGAGCTAGCCTCAATCACTGGACAACCGATGTCACAAAACACAAAGGTTATAAATACCTGAGACCAGGCTAAGTCCATAAGAGCTAATAAGAAAAATATACATTACAAATTGATGTAAACACACACAAACGTGGAACCAGGATAGATAGAGCCGTAGAAATTTATAGTAACTACAAGATAAAAAGGTTTTGTCTGAAATTTATTAGAGGCAACATGTTCAAAATTCTGTTAAGTTACAGTGAAACCCTGATTTAAGTTTGTCTGGGGGACAAGATTTATGTACCTTAAATGAGGGTTTTGGAAAACAGAGCCTAAAATGACTGTCAAACTTAGTTACTGGTACATCAGTAATAAGGCACTGAACTTAGTTCACTTAATGAAATATAAGTTGTTTTTATTTATCTCTCAGAATATGCTCCATACCAACTTCCCTTTTCAAGAATTGCAGCTTTTCATACAATTATGTTACTTAACCTCAATTACAGAAGTGTAAACACTTTGCAATTTCATTTTGCAACACAGTTACATTCCACCTCTTGAATAATTTTCACTTTCTCACTTGTTAACTTCTTTCGTTTTGCGGCCTTGGACATTCATTACTTCATAATCACGTCCAGAAAAACCATGAGACTGAAGAAAAACATAAGAACAACCAGTGGCTACTTCCATCTGACACAAGGGATGAACAAAAGAATGGGCAGAAACAGCCATGCTACACTGCATGGGGTGCAAATGATAGCCTTGAACTAAGGGTGAAGACACGCTAGTTGTAGGGGGGGGGGGACCCTGAAGTGAGATCTGAGACAAGCAATACAATCAAAGTTCCATACATAATATGTGGACAAACCCTTTAAACAAGAACCATTAAGAAGAGGAAAATAATACATAGGCATATGGAGCTTTGGCTGATATCACAAAAATGTTCATTAAATGTGTGGGTTGCTTCAATTTGGGTTTCACTGCATAATGAAAACTTTTGTTGCTGAAACTAATGATAAATTTACACCATGAGGATATGGTTTTCTATTAATTGGCTAATATTATTAGAAGACTCGTGTGTAGGCTATCGTATCTACAGAGAATATATGAACACTAAACCTTTGTAAATTCAAATTTTCAGTGCCATCATCTTTAATATGCCAACACTTTACTGTATAATGTTAGTTTTTGCCATGCACCATAGCTCAAGCGGTTAGTTGCTGGCTTCCCAATGTGCCAGCCCAGGTTCGATCCCGGGTCTGGTCAAGTGGGATTTGTGGTGGACAAAGTGGCGCTGGGGCAGGTCTTCTCCGTGTACTTCGGTTTCCCCTGCCAATCTTCATTCCACCAGTTGCTCCACAATCACCCTCACCTATCATCTGGGGCTGGTACAATAGGCCAGAAGTGGCTGCAGTACAAGGGACTTAGTCCCACCCCACTAGCAATAAAAAAAATAGTTTTTGCCATACAATAATGTTCTTGTAGAGAATGTCCTTCCTTTAGAACTTCTTAGAAGAGTTCTTCTTTACATATCATTGTTCCTAGGCCTTTACATTATATATTTCTCTCTAAGGGATTATTTACACAGAAATAAACAGCAAAGGGGAGTTGAGTCTCATCAGACAACACTACCTTCAGAATGTTGTCTGCATATAAGTCAACATGAAACTATATTCTGAGTGACTAAAGGAAACATATTCTGATCCTCGAGTGCAAAGAAATGAGCAGTATACATTCTGTTTAAATGATGATTCCTGGAGCACACTGTGGATGGCTGTGTCAGTCGAGAACAATTACTCACCTTTGTCTTGCGGTTTTCCAGACATAGTTTCTCTTTGAGAAATGCTTCTCTCTTCTCCAGCATTGTCTGCTGCTGTAACAACTGCTCCTGAAGTCTCTGTGACGATTCTCTCATGCTGGAAATTCTTTTCTCTTCTTCTTGGATCCATCGCAGCCTGTCCTCATCTGGAGCAGCACTTGCATCCTTTTCATTCAACTGAAAGAAATTTGAACACATTACAGTAACTCTGAAATGAAGTGCTTGCTTGCCATGAAAAAGAGTTCAAGAGCATATCAACACCAGAACCCCATGTACTTCAGTAATGGTGTATGATCATAATACAGCAACAAAAAGCTTATATATTGTTTATTATACTGAAATCACCACCTCTGTGGTCTAGTGGTCAGAGTTCCTGGCTACAGATCTGGCGGTTCCGGGTTCGATTCCCGGCGCTACACAGATTTTTCTGGGAAGTAATGCATCTGGAACGGGGTCCACTCAGCATCATGAGGACAAATGAGGGGCTACTAGAATGGAAAAGTAGCAGCTACGGTCTAGAAAACCGAGATTAACAGCCGTGGGAACCGTTTGCACTGACCACATGACACCCTCTATCCACAAATGATGGCACTAACTACACCGACAAGAACCGGTCGCTCAGTCGGTATAATTCGGTTGCGGACTAAAAGCCACAGAGGAATGTATAAGAATGTATTACATAACATTCATACTTCTCATAATATAACTCCAAATACAAACAGTCCATTTTTTCAGTTTTGAAGCTCTTACTTGTATATTCAGCAAAAAGTATTGCACACTGCGATATCAAGTGTTTTAAATGAGTGAGGGGAGGTCTGAATACAAACTCCAGTGCGGAACAGCTCACAACTCTGACAAATTCATAATTTGGGGGTCAATACTCCAACATCAGTATCCTTACTATGGTCTGGACAAATTCAATTTTGAAATTCCATGTGAAAATTAGTTTTACAAATGAAAGAGGAACATCTTAATTATTATTATTATAGGATGGAATTAAAAAAATCCAATTGCACATAAAGTTCAACACAACAAATAAAATGAAACCTGGAGATATCTATGTAAAGGTAAAAGGTAAAGCTATCCCTCTAACAGGATGCAGAGGCCCATAATGCTGGGAGATGTAGATGCTGTCACATTTTCTAGATGATCGACTCACAGCTGGTGGTAAGATTGTCAGACTTATGCACTGGCCACCCCTTATTCCTGAGTATGATTGCTGGTACTCATTTCTGTTAGAGGCTGAGTCAACCCCACGGCCACAGTGTGGCTGGAAGAATTACGTAAGTTTAAGAAATCAAATGACCTCATCAGGAATTGAACATGTGACCTTCTGGCTTGTAGCAGAGTGCCTCAACCAACTACACTACCTTGTGACCCCAGGAAATATCTCTATGTGCAAATCAAAATTATAAACCCCAAAATCACTAGTTATAGAGAAAATTTCAAAATAAATGATCTCAAAGACCATACCTTTGAGGTCTGCAAGTTGTACTTTTGCTCTAATTCCTTTATTTTGCGCTGATCTTCCAAAAGCTCCTGTTCCAAGCACTGTTTATGTTGCTCCTCTCTCTTCAGTTGTTTCTTTAGCTTCTCCATTTGTCTCTTGGAGTTCTGAAGGCTGTTCTCCAACTCCAGAACCCTTTCAAAGGGAATATTAATGAGAAAGACAAATTAGGTCAAAAAAATAGGTCTCAGTATTGGAAGCAAGAAATTCTTTTGCTAAAATCCTGTATGCTGTACAAGATTCTGGTAAAGTCTACATCACAGCTTCTTCAATTCTGCCATATCAATAGAGCCAAATGAAATGGGAAGATCATGAGTCAGGACTACCAGCAGCCCAGCTGAGATTCATTCCAGGCACCTCCCAAATTCATGCACTGATTCATGTCACACAAAGTTCCTATGTATCAATATTATCAACATATTGTCCTGGAAAAAAAATACTGATCAACTTTTACCAAAACTTAGCACCACTTGTTATGGAATTAGAATTGTCAAGCCTTACCCTAATTTGGAAACTTTGTTGATGGTCTACTATGCTTATTTTCATTGAATCATGCATTATGGCATCATTTCTTGGGGAAATTCCTTATAAGCTATTAACGTGTTCTGCATGCAGAAGAGGGCACTCAGAATAGAGATGGGTAACGGCAGTAGAGATTCATAACTTTGGGTATTCTCCCGCTTCAATCCCAATGTATCTATTCTCTACTGTCTTTTATGGTTAACAACGTGGATTCATATCAATTTGTATCTGATACACACAACAGAAATAGAAGATAGGGTTATAATTTTAATCTTTATCAACCTTCAGCCCATTGGTCACTATATCTGAAGGGAGCTTATTGTATGGGTATCAGGATGTTTAATAATCTTACTGTTTTCATAAAGCAATTATATAACAATCCTGTAGATTTTAAACTGGCTATGAAAAAATTCTTATGCGATCATTCATTTTATAATTCAGATGAATATTTTGATTTTAGATATGACAAGAATAATGATATTATTCACTTGGAATGACTGACTGCCTAATTTTGTTGTTGTTATGTTGTGTAATGTTTTGATTGATTATGTATGTTTTATTGTTCCTCCTATATGATTGTTTCCACATACTCAATTGTATGGGTCTATGGAATGAAATAAAGAACTAAGAACAAATTTCAAGGATTACTGCTATACAAACCTGTTCAGTAGGTCTTTGAAATGAATTCAAATACTGTCACCCACCAGAAATTTGGATATCACCATCATCAGCAGCAGCAGCCCCAACCACTGTCACCACCAATAATCAATCACAATTATCATCATCACCACAATTTGGCAAAAGAAGACCACAATTGCTTGTCGACAGCCACTTAGTGTATGAAAGGAAGGCCTGTTACTCATGTGCTGTGTGTCAAAATGAAACTGAAAGTGACATATATAAGTTTACAGGTATGGGCTTCACTTACTTTCTGGCACTGTCGCCTGCTATCTGTTTAATCATCTCAATATCTTTAATCCGCTTTTCATAATGCATCGCAAGATTTTTATATTTTTCAATTTCCTTCTTGTGTTGCAGTTTCTCTTCATTCAGATCACTACCATCGGCAATCAGCAACAATGCATTTTCGGCTTGCGCTAGATGTGTCCTTGTCTTATAATATTCTTCTTCCAATTTGCTTCTCTTTCTCTGAAACCTCTGTTTCGCTGAGGCTCTCATTTCACTGTTTTTGATCATATCCCCAATGAACTGTTCCTATAAAATTATTGTAATAAGAATTAGATTTCTTTAACCTCCATCATGTTTATAGTCTATCAAATGTTCCATCTATAATGCAACAATCAATAACATTGTAAGATTTGAGATTTTCACGGCGGTGACTATGAAGAAAGCAGTCTTCTGGAATGTGGCACCGTGTAGATGTGGTGTTAACAGACGTTTTGGAGGAACGTATCTCCTCCATCTTCAGGGTAGAAGGAAAAATAAGAAAATCTGCAAGCGAAGAGACCATGAGAACCGACACAAGCAGACTGTACTCTGCTTGTACTGGTTCTCATGGTCTCTTCGCTTGCAGATTTTCTTATTTTTCCTTCTACCCTGAAGATGGAGGCGATACGTTCCTCCGAAACGTCGGTTAACACCACATCTACACGGTGCCACATCCTAGAAGACTGCTTTCTTCATAATCAATAACATTGATTCAACTCTAATATCACACAATGGCCATTAAGATATTACATAAAATTATTAAAATATATATGCATTAAGATAACGCTACATCTTTCGGCCTTATAAAAGCATCTTCAGGCAACACTTATGTGAGGAATCCTAATGCACTGTGCACTAATCAAATGTAGTTCCTTCTATTACTTTCATTTCATTTTTTATGTTTTTCCACTTCATATCTTTTATACAGTGTGGTCATTTCTGTATTTTGCTGGTGTGCTTGTGGTTGTATGTTTCAAGTATGCCTTCAAATTACATTCGATTAGTGCACAGTCCATTAGAATTCCTCACATAAGTGTTGCCTGAAGATGGCCTTATAAGGCCAAAACATGTAGCATTATCTTAATGCATATATGTAGGTCGTACCAAAAGTCATAAGAAACTTTTTTTGCATGCAACCTGGGAACAGCAGACAAAAGGGAGTATGGTTGTGGGAGGAACCAGCTGTTGTGTTAACCTTGAGTGTCTTGTGATGTCAATAGCTTGCATTATGTGACCAGTATCAACAAAATGGCCAACAACGATATGTGGTTTCGCCAGCGTGCTGTCATCGAATTTCCTGTGAAAGAGGAAATTCCTGCTGCAGAAATTCACCAGAGACTTCAGTGTGCTTATGGAAGCATGTGCATGGGTGCGAGCACTGTTCAAAGATGGGTGAAACATTTTAAAGATGGGAACACCAGCATCGAAGATGAGCCTCGGAGCGGTCGTCCTCGAACAGCCTCAACTGAACGCAACAAGGAAAGAGTGGATGAGATCATTCAAGATGACAGGCATGTGACTGTGGACACAATAGCCTGAAAACTTGGACTAGGGCACAGTGCACTACAGGTGATGATTGAAAGCTTGGGCTATAGGAAAGTTTGTGCTCGTTGGGTCCCGCAGTTATTGACCGAGGACCACAAAGGTCATATTGGAAGCAATTGCAAAGATGGGTTGGGAAGTTCTTCCACACCCCTCCTATAGTCCTGATCTGGCACTCTCCGACTACCATCTTTACGGATTTGTGAAGGATCAGCTGTGTCGACATTTTGAGACAGGGGAGGCAATTCAGAAAGCAGTGCATCAGTGTCTTCACATGGCTGGAACGGAATTTTACAGAAGGTGAATTTCTTTCAAACTCCCAGAATGCTGGGAGAAATGTGTACAAAGAAATGATTATGTGGAAAAATAAAGAAAGGTCTGTAGATTGAGGTGGTGTATTTGGTTTGTCAATAATAAAGCATGTTACTTTACAAAAAATTGTTGATCATGACTTTCAGTATGACCCTTGTATATGTTAATACCATATTTACGCATGTATAGGCCGCACACTTTTTGCCAGGAATTCAAGAGGAAAACTGGGGTGCGGCTTATATTCGAAATATTCAAAATCACACTTCATTTAAAAAAAAATTAAACGTTGCCAAATTTTGGAATAATTTCTACTCCTGAAATAATATTCCAAGAAAATTATTTTTTCTATAATTTCTATCTGAAAATTGTGCTGCGGCCTATACATGCACGCGGCCTATACATGCGTAAATACGGTAGTTTTATATAACATCTTAATGACTACTGTGTGATACTAAAGTGTGAATCAATGTTATTGATTGTTGCATTACAAATGGAGCATTTGATAGACTATAAATGGAACCTCCATGCAACAAGATACTTAAATATAATATTACTCAATCGTGTTTACATATTCTAGATTACAGAATATCAGTAACCTTCAGTATGAAACCTGATCAGGTACAGGTAATTCTGCTTATTAACACCCACTGCTGAGTAAAGTGTGTCATGTTACCTTGATCTGTATAGTGCACTGTAACTCTTCAAGCCTCTTGTGAACACCTTCCAGGTCAATTAACACTTGGCGAATCTGACTCTGTCTCGCTTCAGTTCCTGCAGACAGCATCCTTAGCTCCTGATAAGGCCCTGGTAGTGGTGAACCACAGGCAGGTGGAGCTGCCTCACTTACACTGTGCTTCTGAGTGTCACTAGTATCACTTCTTCCTCTGTCAATATTACCATCTATCTGGATTGATTCTTCTACAGACTACAAAATAATAAATTTGGATTATGTAATCGCATTCAACAAAATAAAACTTTGATATTATATAAGATATGACGTTTTCACAGTGGTGACTATGAAGAATGCCGTCTTCTGGGACGTAGTGCCATGTACATCTTGTATGAACTGATGTTTTGGAGGAAGGTATTGCATCCATCTTCAGGGTATAAGATGGAGGCGATACATTCCTCTGAAACGTTAGTTCACACAAGATCTACATACGTCACATCTCAGAAGATGGCATTCTTCATTAAAATTATAATCTGTTTCACTGGGGTCCAGTTGGCCTTCAATCCAATGGGTACAGTGGGTGTGAAGCAGATGGGGCACAGAGAAGACCATCGGCTACATCTAACATCAAGGTAATGAATTGTGGAGCTCTGTCTCCACTAGAGTACACATTCATGTTCTAGTGCTGAATATTTTCTTTGGTCTGATGTTAGAAGCGAGCCTGGAACCAGGGAAGCCTATTGCACACTGAAGAGTTATGAATGACTCAACAAAAGAGAATCCTACCATTTCCCACCAGGTGTTGTAAACTTGTTGAAAGAAAACGAATAAATGAGTATGAAAATAAATATGAATATACTGTCACGTGTTGGGTATGTCATGCGACAAATAACTTCAAGCCACCTTGGATCTAGCGAATTTATTGCACATTCGCTCTTACACTTACACAATTTACAATTTCCCAATTACTGCCATCTGCAGTATCACACTTACTTCTCCTGCTGGAGTCACTGCCATGCACTCGATACAACTCGACTTGTAACTCAATACTCACTACTCCTGAATAGTGTTTGCTGCTCCTTATTGAGGCTCGGCACAGACAACGTAGAGAACGCATTGCTGTTGGACAACAGATATCAGGTATTGTTGTCAGGTGTTTCTACCTAAGCATTGCCTAGCAATAGTCGCTGCACAGACTCGGCTGTTGCATGACATCACAGCCTCGTGGGGAGGGGTGTTTACCAAGCGTTGCGTAATGATGGGAGGAATGGGGGTATGTGACGTCACTCGTGGAAACGCGCAGTTCATATGACCCCAACTTCCTGTTGTGCCATCCATGTCACAATACATAAATATAATACCTCTGCACATTCAATGCTGCAAACAAGCAACAAACAGAACAAATATATAATACCTCAATTTCTTTTAAAGATGTTCCTAAATTTGTATGGTTTGCTGCCATGGTGATGTCTGGCATATCAGCTCCAGGATGAATGCTTTTCCTTCTGCCACCCAGTGATTTGTGACTGACAAAATGAACCCCTTTCGAAGAAGGATAACACTTACTGCAGGTTTCTTCACCTAGCACATGCAAAAAAACATGACAGAGCAAATATGGAACTTCACTATGAATTTATTCTCTACCTACCAGTAAAATGAGTGTGCCAAGGGTGATTGTTCTGGTAGGTGTACATAATTAAATCAGGCCAGTGCTCAGGGATGATGTTCCTATTGTATGTAATTCATGTAAATGCTAAAAGATGGCACAGTCATGTAAAGTACATTTTCATTTTCAACATTTTCTGCAGATTATCTTTGTGCACAGATTTCTCTCTTGTGTTATTACATTCTTACAAAATGGCTTGATCTACATCTGTTCCTGATTACTTTTAAACAAGCTGACAGAATATCATGTTACTACAGACCACCCCACTAGTGCAACATTGTAATTCTTAATTTCCTACCATCAACAATAAAAACATGGTGACTGCATGAACTACTGAGGTGGAGACAATACTACAGGTTCCAACAATTCTGAAGAAAGGCATAAGAAGCACATCCCTGAATTTCTTTTTATATCAAGGAAGACTGCATTAAAGCATACAGCAAAAACACCCTTCTGAAACACATTCAGCACACATTAAGTGCAAATTAACAGATGCAACAAAAGACTTACAATATCCTTCAATATATGGGCATGTGAGAAGTGTGGTGGTTAAGGAAGGAAAAAATTAAGAAATATTTTTTAAATGTTTTGTTTAGTAAATAAAATTTATTATGTTTTAAATTAATTATTACAATCTGACTTTGCCTTCTGCTTTTATGCTGTCTATGTGCAACATCAGTTACTATTCACACATCGTTTTCTCTTTACTGACACTACATGTTTCGGTCTAACTGGCCATTGCAACTACATAAGAGAAACAAAACAACATTATGCTGAGCAGCAGATTCCTTCATCACAAAAACCTGTACACCTAAAGATGGCCGGTTAAGCCGAAACATGTAATGTCAATTGAAGAGTGAATAGCAACTGACGTTGCACAAAGATGGCATAAAAGCAAATTGCAAAGTCAGATCTATGCAGTGCAAAAGGATACTCCAAAATAATATTACTATAACACCACTTATTTATTTAAAAATGACTTCTTAATTGTAGTTCCTCTATGTACGTTCCTCATTTTCATCATTAGGTCCCATGTATGAGGCACCGTGGATTATGAAACACACATTTTTAGTGGCACTTTAATGGGGGGAAAAAACATGTTAGAAATACCTGCTGAAACATGAACAATTATACAACCCCTATAGCGAACATCTTACCCTGTGCTTCATCCAAGCACTCTTCTGAAGCATCACTCACATCATTCTGATCTTCAATAATATATGAATCCCTTTTCTTTCTCACTGTACCATCAGTTCTTTGCTTGAATTTTTTAATTAGATCATCCAATTTTTCCAAAAAGTCTGGATGCTGCGAATCCTGTTCACTTTCTGTCTCAGATTCATAATTAGTCCCCTCATTCACATCCTTACTGCAATTAGACTTCATTTTCAAAGAAGAGGCTACTTGGGAATTTTCACTCTTTTCTTCTGACTCTGTGATTTCATCTGAAAATATCAAACAATTGCAATGCTATGCACAAGAGTAACAAGAATGGACATCTATCAGTGATGATGTCAAATTTGCCATCAAGCTACCCCATTCAATAAACTGAAAGACAGAGGCATAAAACTCTTAGTTACAGAAAATTCAGAAATGATGAACATGAAGCTAATTACAATGCACAGGTACCTTCCTCATAATAAAACTCAGTGCTCCAAACATTTGAGTGATGCTTGATTAACATAGTCATATGTTATTTACCAAATCACTAACAAATGAATATGTTAATTTATTTAGAAATAGTTCCTTTATTGCATACAAGTACAACATAGACTAATAATATGAATATGAGAAATAATTGCTAAGGATGTAGATATTGTGTTAGCCAACGTTTCAGAGGAATGTATTGCTTCCATCTTCAGGGTATAAGAAATCTGCAAGCAAGGACCAGCGTGAGCAGGTGGTTGCAATAGTTACATGGTGCCACATTCCAGAACAAAGCATTCTTCATTATCAAACATTCATCTCCAGGAATTGGGGAAAAACACAATACTTTGGTCTTTGCTACAAACTATACAAATGTTTTGTGTTATGACTAACTTAGACAAGGATATCCTTTGTTAAACTAAAATGATAAATTTTTGAATCAGAAGGAATTTTAATGTGACATTTGAGTTTCTTACGGTAGGAACTGTAAAGGTTATTGTTAATATGTAACACTATACAGCTTGGCAGACAGGGGCTAACACTTTGGAGGAATTTACTGCTTACTTCTTAAGGTTGGAAGACCTACCTTGAAAAAGGAGGCAGTGCATTTGCCCAAAGTATTGGTACCTATATACCAACTAAAAGACATCACATCACAAAAGTAGAAATGTCCATTCGTTAATCTTTTTTGCTTCATATTCAAAAAATAAAGTAAATTAAAATCGTCAACATACCTATCCTCTCAAGCATTCTTCCTTCGAAACCCTTGCAACTTGTAGTATCATCACTTCCAACACATTCTTCACATTCTTGTTTGAGACACAGCCAACGTTCAACCTGATCTTTCTCATCTTGAGAAAGGCATTTACTTACTACAAGTTTGCTAAGCAAATCTTCTGCATTAGCAACCAATTTCAGCCACTGGGATGCTGCAAATTCCAGCCTGAAACACAAATTTGTTGTTTCCTGCATTCAATTTTATGCTTTGATAGTTCAGACATATGTGGTACAGTCATTAATTTCGTGGACTGTGGTTTTATCGCATCATATTACAAGGTATTCACATACACTTACACAGATCCACATCGACCCTCAAAATAGATGCCACTGGCCGCTATGCAAGTCTGCCAATGTTTATATAGATGCCGAAAACATTGCTGAAACATAATGGCAGAAAATTCCCATACGGCATCTCTTGTGGCATTGACAACAGACGGAGATGGAGAATGGATCTACATATGAACCAGGTGAATCTGGCTGTATATGGTAGGGGTGTGTTCCACATGGCGGTAAAGGTCTTTAATGCACTCCCTTATAATCTTAAAGAAACTGCTCCCATACCTAATCAATTTAAAGTCAAATTGAAGGACTTTTTGAGTAATAATTCCTTCTACACACTTGATGAATTTTTTAATAGATGATTTTATTTTGCTAAAGTAATTATTAATTGTTCACTTATTATTACAATTAACATAACAATATATATAAAGGGCCTTGGCAGAAATATGATTGCTTACTATATACTAATTGTTATTTTGAAATGTAATTATATTAATTTATGTATTCTTGAATTTATTTCTATAACTTGTTTTTCTACGTTTTTATTGTATCTATGTTAAGATTCAAACTTGACTATTTCCACATCTCATGGAACTTGTTTCTGTATGGATTTATGGAAATGAAATAAATGAATGAATGAACAACCTCCTCAGATGACTGAAATCTATGACCACGTAGCTTTGCTTTCAAGCGGTGAAAGAGGTATGGAGGGTGTTGCAAAATGGTGACCTGTTGCCTTGCCAGTTCCTCTTGGACAAGAACAGAGCGATGTGCAGGGGTGTTGTCGTGTAGGAACAGCCAATTCTTCCTATGCCAAATGTTTCATTAGAAGATTTGCCTTGTTTCTGGCAGAACTTGATGTTTGTCCATTGTTCAAACTGCCACATTTTCCATTTCTGCCACTTACATTTAACTGCAGTTCACAATAGAGGCAGTAGTTCTGCTTACACTGTTTGCACACAACTGCCTCTTGCTGTGACGAGAGATGAACTAACAGGGCATCATATCATGCCTCAACCTATACCCTGTAGTGCACTGCAATGGTGCTTTGCGGCCAATCCACGAAATTATTGACTGTGGTAGTAGAAGCGACACTGGTAACATGTTTCACACACATTTATGAATGGGAAGACAGAGAACTTCCTCTGTTGAAAGAAGAGTTATCATAAATGAACACAAAACATTTCAAAGGAATTGTGAAAAAATGCTCTGGAACACCTGGGGAGTAGCCATAAAAACAGCAAGCCATAACCTTCCTGTGAATATCACCCCAACTGCAAAAAGCTTTTCTGTGAGTATGGGGAGGAAACCCCACCAATGGTATCTCCACCTTATCGTGGCAGTGGGGTTTGAGAGCTCCTGAGACCCTGAGAGCTATGCCAGCAGCAGCGTAGCTACTGGTAAGGCCACCCATGCTGAACAGGTCTAGGGGTAGGAGCCAGACAGAGAGGGATACCCTGGTCCTCCAAGTTTGGGGTTGGGCGTGAGGCCAACAACCTCACACCATAGAAACTAAATTGTTCAGAAATCCGAGGAAAGAGTAGCCGGACAGACCTATTCAAGACGACCTGGAAAATGTTTAAAGGATTTGAGAATTGGATCTTGGACTGTATTATGTCTTTACAGAGCCGGAGCACTAAAAATGCTACTTGAACAACTAGATAGCTATAAACTAGATATCACTGCTATACAAGAACTGAGGTGGTTGGGTAAAGGAGTCATGGAAAAGAGGGATCATGTTGTATTCTATAGCTGTCAGAAGAAAAGTCATATGTTTGGAACAGGTTTTATTGTTAATAAAAAAGGTAGCATCTTATTTTAGACTTCCAGGCAAAATCTCACAGAACATGTAGGCTACGAATTAAGGGAAAGCTTTTTAACTATAGCCTTATTTGTGCACATGCCCCAACTGAAGATAAAAGTGATAAGGAGAAAGAATCCTTTTATGATGAACTGGATGAAATATATGGCAAATGTCCAAAAAGGGATTGTAAAATAATCATATGGGACATGAATGCTAAAGTGGGGAATGAGGATGTATATAGATCGGTTATTGGAAAACATAGCCTACATAACAAGTCAAATGATAATGGGATGAGATTAATAAATTTTGCTTCCACAAGAAACATGGTAGTAGGTAGTACAAAGTTTAATCACAAGGATATACATAAACAAACCTGGAAATCCACTGATGGAAATGTGTTTAATCAAATTGATCACATCCTAATAGATGTAAGACATTGTTCAGACTTGATGGATGTCAGGAACTACAGGGGGGCCAACACTGACTCTGATCATTACTTAATAATATCAAAAATTAGAAATCAAATATCTAATGCAAGGAAGATAAATGGATCACAGGCTAAGAAATTCAATTGTGGAAAATTGGTGGAACAAGGAGTTGCAACCAGATATACTGGATTAATTAGTGAATGCCTGGCAGGTCTCTCTGATAGTGAGGATGTCAGTGAAGCCTGCAGGGACCTCAGAGATGTTATTATAAAGGCTGGTGGAAGAATGGAAAGGATAAAGTATAAGAATTGTTTTGATGGAGAGTGTGAGCAAGTGACAAATAAAAAAACCCAGGCATATAAGAGAATGCAGCAAAGGAACCACACTCAAGGGGCCATGGAAGAATACAGTGAAGCGAGAAGAAAAGAAAAAAGAAGAAAAGGAAATATGATAAACAACAGCTGACTGAACTGGAGCATTTCCCTAAATTAGAGTGTTTTATCAAAAACTAAATAAGAGTTGAAAGGACTTTCAACCTAGAACAACCTTATGTAGAGATAAAGAAGGCACGATACTGAGTAGCGATGAAGCAATACTGGAAAGATGGGCACAATATTTTGAGGAAGTATTAAATGGTAATGCCTCCGAACAAGTGGAAGGTATGACCATAGACTCGAATCAAGGAAATTTTGAGGCTGAAGAGCCAGCGCCGACCATAAAAGAAGTAGAACAAGTTACCAAAAATTGAAAAATAATAAAGCTCCAGGAATTGATCTCATCATGGCAGAATTAGAGAAATTTGCAGGCCCAGAATATGCTAAGCACTTACATCAGCTAATAGTTAAGATATGGATAACTGAAATAATCCCAGAGGAATGGAACCTAAGTACTGTATGCCCTATCCATAAGAAAGGCGATGTCATGGTATGCTCTAATTATAGAGGAATTAGTCTGTTGTGCATAGCATATAAAATATTTTCCAACATTCTATTTAACAGACACTCTCCCTTTGTGGAAGGCATAATTGGGGATTACCAATGTGGGTTTCGTCAAGGAAGATCAACCAATGATCAGATTTTCACTATTTGCCAGGTCCTTGAAAAGTTTAATGAATTCCAAATTGAAACATATCATCTTTTCATTGACTTCTGATCAGCCTATGACTCCATAGATAGAGATAGTCTTTTTCTGGCAATGGAAGAGATGCACATTCCAAGGAAGTTAATCGCCTTAGTCAGAGCCACTAAGAGAAAGACCCAATGCCAAATTAAAATTCAGAATATGTTGTCCAGCCCTATAATAACTAGAAATGGAGTTCGACAAGGGGATTCCCTAGCCTGCCTTTTGTTCAATATAGCATTAGAGAAGGTAGTTAGAGATGCAGGCATCAAGACAAGGGGAACTATATTCTATAAGTCAGTTCAAATTGTGGCATTTGCAGATGATATTGATATAACTGGTAGAACACAAAAATCTATGAAAGAAGCTTTTCTTAATTTGGAGAGAGCAGCGAAAAAGATGAATCTGCAAATTAACCAAAATAAAACAAAGTACATGCCGGTAACCAAGAAAGACCGTGCTAATGGACCTGCATATATTGAAATTGGCTCATATAAATTTGAGGTTGTATGTAATTTTACTTACCTTGGATCAGAAGTTAACTGTAAAAATGACATCAGTGATGAAATAGAAAAGGCGTATTTGCGGCAAATAAATGTCTCCATGGCCTTAGGAAACACCTGAAATCCCAACTGGTACCCAGGAAAACCAAAACTATGATGTATAAAGTACTTATAAGATCAGTCCTATCTTATGCCTCTGAGACCTGGCCACTGTCAAGATCAGATGAAAGACTGTTAAGTATATTTGAAAGGAGGATCTTGAGATATATCTTTAGACCAGTGGAAGAAAATGGAATATGGAGGAAGAGGTATAACCATGAGCTATACAAACTATTTAATGAACCAGACATTATTGGATTTATAAAGGTGAAAAGGCTTGAATGGGCTGGACACATAATACGTGCCAGCGTGAATAGAACCATCAAGAAAATGCTTAACACCAAACCAGAATGAAATAGGAGAGTGGGAAGACCAAGGTTAAGATGGGAAGAATGTGTGTGGCAGGACATAAGAATTTTGGGTGTAAAGAACTGGAGGAATGTAGCATCGAATGGAGAAGAATGGTGTGCAATCCTGAGGAAGGCCAGGGCTCACAAAGGGCTGTCGTGCCAGTGATGATGATGATGATGATGATGATGATGATGGGGAGGAAAACCAGAAGGGAAGTTATGCAGCTCTTTATATATAAGAATGCATTCTGTTTGTGTTCATCAAACATTATGGTTTAATCCACACTACATATTTCAATTTATCTATGCAGAATGGTAACACCTGTAAAATGCGCCACTGTGCCTTTTATACATGAAGCCTTTTTTTTACTATTGCTAGTGGGGTGGGACTAAGTCCCTTGTACTGCAGCCACTTCTGGCCTATTGTACCAGCACCAGATGATAGGTGAGTGATTGTGGAGCAATTGTTGGAATGAAGATTGGCAGGGGAAACCGAAGTACTCAGAGGAAACCTGCCCCAGCGCCACTTTGTCCAACACAAATCCCACATGACCAGACCCAGGGTCGAACCTGGGCCGCTGCAGTGGGAAGCCAGCGACTAACCACTTGAGCTATGGTGTGGCCTACCTCAAGCTTTAGTATTTCTTGAAAAATTACTAATACTGTACAAAATTGTACAAAAAGATTTTAATTGATACTATGTGAAACTGCTGCACTGCATAAAAAAAAACAGTAGTTACTGGGCTTAGGCTACCTGATCTAAGTACAGACGTAAGTACATTAAAAGTTCTCAGTAGCATGAGAGGACACCTTGTTTTCTCCTGCAGTAACACAAATGGGATTCATTCTAGTAAATGCTCTCCTCTTTTACACAATATTTTCACATGTCAGTGACTACACACGGAATTTGGACCAATTACTAAACTTACTGAACACTTACAGCAGTTCTTCTGTTGTGGGTGTATCTGCTGCTGTGGAAATGTGTTTATGTGTCACTGCCTAGCAATGGCTGTCTGTTCTGGCTCTGTTATACTGCCTTTCAGGCAACATGTCACTATATAAAATTGATATTTAGGCAGACCACAAATTATATATAATTATATATAAAAGGACTGTGAAACCCACTTTAAAATGTACAGATATATTTGACTGGATAACACTGTAATAATATTAAAGATACAAACCCAAATGTATCAGCATTTGTACTCCTTTCCTCTGAATCCACAACATCTGTGTATTGTTCCTCTGATGTAACATCTGCATTGAGTTCATGATCATTGCTGTCTCTTCCTCCATTCACCACTGGAATGTTATTGATGCTTTGTATCTGAGCAAGGAATCTCAAGGTGTTTAGTGTTTTATCAAAATCCAGAGAAGCTGGTGATACACAGCCAATCACCAATGTAGTAGCTTTCCCACCAAAGGAACTCTATGGAGTAACAAAAACGTTTAGAATGGTAAGAAGAAAAATTCATTAGTGAGATTTATATATATGAGCTGTTACTACATACAAAAGTGGCCACAGACACCTGAGAGTCATGATGTTCATTGTTCAAGGTACAGCTAAAAGAGCAAGGTAATTCATCTTAAATACAACCAGAGGTCTTTTCCTGGTGGCATGTAATGATAAAAGACAGAAATATAAAAAATGTATTAATAAATATTAGGAAGTAATGGGAGTTGATATATAGACAAATGTCTTAACGTACAGATATATCAGTACCATTTTAGTTGAAAAACTTCCAAATTATACTCCAGTTGTATGTGAGCACCACCTCTGTTGTTTCTGAAGGAGATGGGGAGGGGGGGGGAGCTACTGCATACAATATACCGTGGTAGCATGCATATGTAGAGCACAATATATTTCAAAGTATAATTTTATATGATAAATACATGAAATAATATTATCAAATTTCTTTAAATGCATTAAATATATGGGTATTCAAATTAAAATAATTTGCTATCTCATGTCTGCAAGGGGAAAATCTTCCAATGACTGAATGAAATAAAACTAATACCCTGTTACCATCCATTCGCGTGAAAAGTTTTTCAGATATCAGAAGAAAATGCCATAGGTTAACCGTTAGTTGCTTATTCCTACCCTTTGAATGCTGTGAGAAATAAATTTTTCTCACATGCCAGATATAAATGCCATACAATAAAGATAAATTATTTAACTCTTTACTATGCATCAGATAACAGGGTTGAGTAAATCTAAATAATTTCTGCTGCATTTAAGGTACTGAATCTAGATGGTTTTGAATCAGTTCCAAATTCACTTCCTCAGCCAGACAAAGCCTTAAAATCTCATTACATTCACTGAGAGGTAAGCAGTGTAATGTCTGTCTACTTACTGTAGGCCACATAATTAGGGTCACTTCAAAGCATTTTTGAAAACAGACCTACTTAGGAAGCAAGTCACTTGCTACCACTATACTGCATGCTTCTCATAAATTCTTGTGGGCTCTCGCAGTTTATTTTATGATGCTGACAGTATCTTGACCATAGTGTTGAATGGTAGGTGCTTGCGGTCTAATCAAGATACTATCCTTGTATTTGCTTGGCTGGTCTAAGGAAAATCACAAGAAATCTCATTCAGGATAACCAATGTCTTGGCCAAGATTCAAACCAAGCACTTCATCTACACAGATCTAACAGTGTTACCACTACAGTACAACACTATAATCTCGAGAGCTGTGAGGAATGCAGGAAGTCAGAACCGTTAAAGGAATGACAGTAGCATGGATCAGCAACTACTATCCGAGCCAAAACAGAATTGCTTTAGTTCAGTTCAGTTGAGCACTACACAAGTATGTTAGTGGCTAAAATGTTCTGAATTGATGCTATACACAGTAGGTAAGTCCATTTCCACCCCTTCGCCTTTGTCAGTCCCTATATCTTTCACCCCATAAGTGTCAAGATGATAGTCTCTACCAGTACACAAACCTGCTTGATGCAACTGGGATCGAACTTGGGGTCATGTGAAAACTACAGCAGTATGAGTACTATATGACATGAGTTCAACAAGATCACATCACAACAGATCAGGTCACTCACTTTAAGAAGTCTTGTTAACGCAGACTGCGTGTAGGGAACCTGCATCTGCTGCCACTGGGGTTCTATGAGTGTGGAAATGACATTTCCCAAAGCTACCAATCCATAATCCTGTCGAACTGATTCTAATACCAAATGACCATCATCATCCACTAAAACTGTCTTCTCTGAGCCTCCAAGATCAGTAAACTGAGCTTTCGAACATGCGTGGTGCATGATGCCGTCTGAAAAATAAATAAGTCATATATAATTAATACGATGCTACAAGCCAGAAGGTCGTGGGTTCAAATCCCAATGAGATCATTGGATTTTTCAATTGACCTAATCCTTCCAGCCGCGCTATGGCCCTGGGGTCAACTCAGCCTCTAACAGAAATGAGTACCAAGAATTAATTAAATAATTTTCCTGGGGAGTAAAGTGTGGCCGGCGCGTACGGCTGACAACCTTACCACCATCTTTGAGCTGATTATCTAGAAAATGTGTGAACCTCAACATCTCACAACCCTATGGGCCTTCACGGCCTGTTACAGGGATAGCTTTACTTTTTTTTTTTTTACAATTAATACAGAAAGAGCTACCTGCTGTAAGAGTTCACAATGAAGTATTAGATCAGTGCTAACGCCCTCATTCTAGTTTACTTTATATATAATTCCACATTTCTGATGTTCTCCTTGTGATAATTTTAGTAACATTTATATTTTCATAAAAATACACTGTAGCATATGGTACAATAAAGAATATAAGAAGTGTGATAGAAACTGATACAAATGGATTTAAAAAAATTATGCCTTTAAGAGGCCTTCAAGGTCCACATGGTTATGAGATGTTGAGGCTCCCACATTTTCTCTAGACAATCAGCCCACAGCTGGTGGTAAGGTCATCAGCCTTACACACCGGCTGCCCTTTACCCCCAAGAATATTCCTGGCACTCATTTCTATTAGAGGCTGAGTTGACCCCAAGGCCATAGCATGGCTGGAAGGATTAGGTAAATTGAAAAAAAAATTCCACCTCATCGGAACTCTAGTATAAAGATATATACAAAATAAGAGCAAATCTTTCCCTTATAAGTAACAGATGAATAACAGAGAGTAACGGTTCTAAAATGATCATAAAAAGGGCACAGGGAAGGAAGTTCTGCAATGATCACGATACTGCATGCTACACAAATGCACTCAAGTGGACCTGATATTGCATGACACTTCAGGGTAAAGAAAAATTTAATTCAATTATTACTTCTAACTGAATCAACTACATGGTATTTAAATGTATGCTGAATATCTCTTGTACACATACCAACAATCCAGTGTTGTTCAAGAGTTAATGTGAATACAGATTGGGAATGACATGGCTGATGCTGAGCTGTTGCCCATCCTATTTGTCTGTTGCTCATTCCTACATGTAAGCAATTGAATACTTCACTAACATTTTGACATCTGATTTCTTCAGCTCCAACAACTGCTGTACCCTTGAAAGCAAACATAATTATAGTTTATATCTTAGTGTAAGTTAATATAAGGATTAAAGCATGCAGAACTATAATTTTATCTGTCTGTGTGAGTAGAAATCTTGGTCTCTAGCATGGAGGGAAGAACCCAGACTGAGGCTCATTGATAAGTTGCTGAGAACAGTATTTCATGCCAAGAGAAGGAAGTACCATGAGATTGGAAATAAATGACAGTAAGGAGCTTCATAAATTGGTTCTCTTCATCAAATGATATTATGGTAGATGAGCTGGGCATGGTATATAGCATGCATATGGGAGATGACATGAGAATAAGAAACTATGGCAGCAAAACCTGAAAGGAAGACACGACTTGGAAGACATATTGTAATGAGCTGAAGGTGCACACAACACAAGTCACAGCACCATACACAAGTGACATGTGACAATCAGTGCACTTATTGTTCCTAAAACAGTGCTAGTATCACTCATGATGATGCATTACATTAAACTAACAGAAATCTATGAAGACAAACACTTTTAGCTTATGGCATTAGTCAGATAATTAATCTGCATTAAAACAGAGTTCCTATTATACAGTAAGATTTAATATTGCTAACAAATAGCACTTTCTTTAAGTCCCTATATGCCAATAGAGTCCTGAAAAACAGAACATTTAACCTTTACTGTCTGTCACACAATTGTGTGGCACATGTTGTGGTTCAGCAGGTTCCACCAGGACTAGTGTCACACTGTTTAAAAACAGGCCTGTGCAACCTTTTTACTGTGTGGGAAATTTTAGAAAAATCTGGTATGTATGTGGACAACATGAAGTTCAATGTATAAAATGTGGAATGTGTAAGACTATACATAAGTATATACTTTTATCTGCATATTTGTCTATGCATTAGATTCAATAAAGAAAATGGTAATATGTGTAAAATTATACAAAATGCTTCAATGAGGGAGAGATTGGTCTTTCTATGTAGGCCCTATGTTTCTTGAACAGTAGTTTCAGCATGAGTATATCCACGCTGTCAAGGCATCAAGATCACTGTGGACTTTGTCACTGCACTGTACTTAGTAACAATTATACAAGTTATACAGAGGTTTCCTGTCAATGCAGGCTTGTGCAGCAGGTTATGCCTTAACTTATGCAACTACTCTGAAACTGCAATTAGTCAGCTGAATGGTCCTAGGCCTGACTGCCGCCAAGTTTTTAAGCCTCTTATGCTTCCTATGCCTTGCTTCTCCTTGTCCAATACCACGCACATCTGGGTTTACATGGTTTACGATTACTTCTGCCTGTATCCTGCATAATTTAGTTACACAGTCATACATGTAAGGAATTTTGAAAGCCACATGTAATTTGTGGACAGTGTGCAATGTTCAGGAGGTTTTGCTATAAATAAACATCATTAGATTTTTTTTCAATTGACCTAATCCTTCCAGCCGCACTATGGCCCTGGGGTTGACTCAGCCTCTAACAGAAATGAGTACCAGGAATTAATTAAATAATTTTCCTGGGGAGTAAAGCGTGGCTGGCACGTAGGGCTGACAATCTTACCGCCATCTTTGAGCCAACTGTCTCGATTCTGTGGGACCCTCAACATCTCACAACCCTATGGGCCTTCACAGCCTGTTACTAGCTTAATTTTTATATATATTGTCACATGTTGGGTATATGTCACGTGACAAATAACTTCACACCATATTAGATATAGTGAATTTATTGCACATTTGCTCTGACACTTATATAATTCACAATTTCCCAATTACTGCAATCTGCAGTACCACAAAAACTTCTCTTGCTGGAGACACTGCCATTCATTCAATCCAATCTGACTCGGCGACTGCTAGACTGCAACTGACAGGTTAATCCTTACTCACTACTCTGAATAGTGTTCACTGCTCCTAATTTAGGCTTGGCTTGGACAACACAGAAAACACTTACGTGCCAGGTACCACTGTTGCATAATGTCATGTTTACCGATTGCCTAGCAACAGTCACTGCATGGGCTCCCTTGTTGTGTGACGTCACAGCCTAGCGGGGAGGGGTGTTTATCAAGCATTGCGTAATGGTGGAAGGAGTGGGGGTACATGACATCACTCGCGAGAACGCAGAGTTCATGTGACCCCTACGTCCTGTTGCGCCATCCACGTCACAATATTCTGTCTCACCACCAGTACACAAGACAAACTAACAATATTATCATGATTGAGATGTGTGGCTGTAGATGGGATTTGGATTGGATACTGGATTTATTGACACACTTGTACACACCACTCAGAACTACAATCACTTACAACTGCTGATTTCCACACTTTTCAAATCACTAGCACACACTAAGTCTTCTGAGTTTTCACTACTCTTATCCTGGCAATGGATTTTAACATGGTAATTATATCAGTCTCACTGTAACTATGGCACACATAAAGTCTTCTCTTCACAGCCGCACTCTTGTAAGTAACTCTTTTATTCACAGCCAGACTTTAAACTCTCAACTAGTTGGATCGCCATCTCTCCTCAGCCTCTCTTTCTGAGCTCAACTGAACTGCCAACCTCAACTAACTGGATAGCCCCAACTATCTTTCTCATAACCATTTTGTATGGATCGAATAAAAAACACCATTTATAGCCATAATTCTATGGCTGTAGATGCCTGTTTACCAATCCATTGCCTAGAAACAGGTTGCATCACTGCTGTTCTATTGTTGTGTGCATGTTGCTGGCGTTACCCGGCAAGGGCCGCTGTTTACAGTCACCGCTTAGAAAGGAATCTATATGCCACAATATAAATATAGCTAATAAGTCCTTTAAAAGTGAAAATTAATTGGGACCAACAGTAAAAAAAAAGGAAATTATATTCCTAAAGATGTCAGCAGCAGACCGCATTTGCTGCCATATAGTTCATGAGCTTCCATTTTCCTATCTGCCATTTAAACATTTGAAGATTAGAATATACCAATATAATTTTACATGCTCTATTGTATGTGTGTAAAACCTGGTCTCCAAACCTTTGTAACTCCGTGAAACATACCTCTGGATTCTCTACAATAAATATTTTTTTCTTGATTTGGCTTGTGTTCAGAAGATCTCTAATTTCATCGCCATAGATCTCAATAAATGATACTGTTATTTTGAATCTTCTGCCGGGAGTTTGCTAAAAGAAAGAAAAATACTTACAAACTTCATCCATCCAAATATATATAAACGGACATACAATTATGATGCTCGTGTGTTAAATGGCACAGAAGTGCTTCATGAATTGTATGAATCTTACATATGTAACAAACTCAATGGAACAGAGTTCCTCTTGCATAACTATGCCTGTAAGTAAAATATAGATAACACAGGCCTACAAAAAAAAATTTTTTTTTGGTGTCTAGGATTTTAGAACTAATTTTAGTTATATTTAAGGCGCTGAATCTAAATATAAAATCAGTTTTTCTCTACCAGCTCTACTTTTTTAGATCAGCGTTTTTGTAACGTGCAGTTCTACACAAAATGTGCAGTTCTAATTGTATTTTGTGCAGTTCTAAATCTCATATGCAAGGATTGGTTCCTGTATATTTGCCCTATTGTCAGTCTGCTGTCCACTGAGTTCCCCCAAAATCCACTAGATGGCATTGTCTGTCCGGTGTGAAGTGAACTTGAACGCTTCCACTAGAGTTGAGGTTAGTTTATATGTTCTCGCCGTGCAGGGTACATCGAAGTTGGCCTCGGGTGATATTTGTTTATAAAAGTAAAAGAGTTGTTATAAATTTAACCTAAAACGTACTGTGTTGAAGATTGTTGTGTTTGTGTTCCTGAATTGAAATAAAATGAGTTCAAGAAGAAGAAGTTGTATAAATCAACCTGATGTGTTTTGTTACATATGTGGAGAATACACGTTAAAAGAAAACAGAAAAACTGTTAGTGACTTTGTAAAGAAAGCTTATTTTGTATACTTTGGTGTTAGGCTTGGTGATCAGGATAAAACCTGGGCACCGCATCAGGTCTGTAAAACTTGTACAGAACATTTACGACAGTGGACTACCGGGAAAAGAAAAAGTCTGAAATTCGGCGTACCGATGGTTTGGAGAGAACCCAAGAACCACTTCGATGACTGTTATTTCTGCCTAGTAAATATTACTGGAATCAATCGAAACAACCGTAGCAAGTGGACTTATCCTGATTTAGCCTCTGCAAGACGCCCAGTTCCTCACTCAGAGGAAGTACCGATCCCAACGTTTCACCAGCTACCAGAGCTCTGTGAGGATGAGTATTTTCCCTCTAATCACCCTTCTGATTGTAATGAAGGTGACAGTGATTATGAAGGGATGTCGTCAATCCCTCAACGTTTTAACCAGGATGAGTTAAATGACCTCATCAGAGATCTCAACCTGTCAAAAGAAGCTTCTGAATTACTGGCTTCTAGGTTGAACGACAAAAATTTACTGGAACAAGAAACCAAAATTTCCTTTTACCGCACAAGAGAAACGGATCTGCTACCCTTCTTCTCTCAAGATTACAATCTTGTATATTGTCACGAAATTAGAGGACTCTTGGAAAAAATGGCTCTTCCTGAATATTTTCCCGATGATTGGCGCCTATTTATTGACAGCTCAAAGCGAAGTTTGAAATGTGTCCTTCTACACAATGGAAACAAATATGGTTCAATACCAATTGCTCACTCCACGAAAATGAAAGAAGAATATAACACCATAGCTTTGGTCTTAGAGAAGATAAAGTATCATGAACATCAATGGGTGATTTGTGTGGACTTAAAAATGGTAAATTTTCTCCTTGGACAGCAAAGTGGTTACACCAAATATCCCTGCTTTTTGTGCCTCTGGGATAGCAGAGACAAAACACACCACTGGGTTAGAAAAGAATGGCCCAAGAGAGAAAACATGTACGTTGGGGAGAAGAATATCATTAACGATCCCTTAGTTAGACGAGAGAAAATCATCTTTCCTCCACTGCATATCAAGTTGGGCCTTATGAAGCAGTTTGTAAAGGCCCTTGATAAGAACGGATCATGCTTTGCATATATAGAAATGAAAATGCCTCAGTTGAGTACGGAAAAAATTGAAGCAGGAATATTTGACGGCCCACAAATAAGACAACTCATTAAGGATCCTGCCTTCGCAAATTCGATGAACGAGGCTGAGCGAAAAGCCTGGACTTCATTTGTTGCAGTTGTCGAAAATTTTCTGGGCAAACACAAAGCTGAAAACTATGTTGAACTGGTAAACGAGATGCTTAACAGTTTCAAATCCCTTGGCTGTAACATGAGCATTAAGGTGCACTATTTACACAGTCACTTAGATAGTTTTCCTGAAAATTTAGGAGACACCAGTGAGGAACAAGGTGAAAGATTTCACCAGGATATTAAAACTATGGAGGACCGCTACCAAGGAAGATGGGATACACACATGATGGCAGATTACTGCTGGAGTTTAAAAAGGGACTGTTCTAAAATACATTCAAGAAAGTCACGAAAAAGAAGCTTCCGTAGTGTTCCGTGACTATAGTTGGTTTGACTGTTATATATAGTCGATGATTTTTTCCTCTATCTTTGTATTTAATATAATAAAATAAAAATATAATTATAATATAGTAATAAAAATTCCATGTTGAGTTTTTTTATTTGATCCACTGATTTAACTTAAAATAGTGTAACGTATATTTCACCAAAATGTTATATCTTAAAAATTTGAGCTCCTAGGCAAAAACTAATGCCATATTTGAATTCAGGGCATCAAATTCATATGAAATCAGCTCCAAATACCCCAGCACCAAAACAGCTGTTGGCCTGTGTAATTTATTAATAAAAATGGATACTGATAAAAAAGAGGGGAGCCACAATAGCTCAGCAGGTATAGCGACTGGCTACGGGCCAGATGACCGAGATGTCGGAGTTCGAGTCCAGACAGGGTCAAGAGTTTTCTCTTCTCCAAGTCATCCAGAATGGCTCTGGGGTCCACCTAACCTTCTATTCAATTGGTACCAGGGGCTCTTTCCACGGGGTAAAGCGGCCGGGGTGTGAAGCTGACTACTCACCTCCAACTTGTAACAAGGTCAAGAAAATGTGGATCTATACATCCACTCTCCCATACACCTTCATGGTTTAGTGGTTAATTAGTTAAGAACAGGGACAACTTTACCTTTTGACTTTTACCCAGAAAAAAGAATATTACAATTCTGTTGTTTTACAACACAGATTCTCAGCCTTTCAATGTACCTAACAAAAATACACAACAAGCTTCTTGGTAACATGTACAAAGATCTCGTTTGGTTGCTCCCACAACGATGCTGCACTACTTGCTTCACTACATCAATTTACTAGAAACTTTTGACTCAAAATTACTCATTCATGTTCCAGGCGGGTTAAATTGTGTATGATCCATGCTGTATACTGTATGAGTAAGCATCCCAAATCCCGACTGAATGGGTTTTTCAATTGTTCTGGGAGTCATTACTGGTTACAATGACAACCAACCATGGGCTGACATTCACACACTCACACACTATTAAAAATTCTGGTGACAAAGCATACCCAACTTATAATTGCAGGAAGTGTGAAAAAAAGGCAAATTTCTTGCATTAATATGCATTCTATAAGACTCTGTCAAAAGATGTAAAAATTTCTGATATCTGTCAAAAAATCTGAGGTAAGCAGAGATTTTTTCCTCAAGGCTTCAATTTCTGCAAAAGATGGCACTGAAGGTTTAGCACATGCTCCTCCTAGAGGCTGGCACTGAAGGAGATGAGAAAACTTGCTCTCAGAAACTGAGTAAGATGAAAACGGATTCTGTCTGTTGACGTACCTTCATTTGGAATTAAGTTAGCTCTTAGTACAGCTAAGTAATTATCACCTAAATTTGATTCTGTGAGTAATGAGCTTGCTATTTATACTTCTACAGTATTTCTACATTATCCCCTCTTCCTTAATACAAGTATCATGAACAATTAGAAGCTAAAGCTATCCCTGTAAGAGACTGTGGAGGCCCATAGAGTTGTGAGACGTCAAGGCTGCCACATTTTCTAGACAATTGGCTCACAGATGGCGGTGAGGTAGTCAGACTTTCATGCTGGACATCCTTTACCCCCCAGGAAGATTCCTGGTATTAATTTCTGTTAGACACTCAGGCAATCCCAGGGCCATTGTGCAGATGGAAGGATTAGGTAAACTGGAAAATACAATGACTTCATCGGGAATCAAACCCGCGACTTTCCAGCTTGTAGCAAAGTGCCTCAACCAACTACACTACTGCGTGTCCCGTCATGAATAATTAAGCTGGGGAAAGGTACTATATATAGTTTTATCAAGATATAAGTTGTACAAATCACACTCACTGCCAGCAGACTGAAGATTTCTCTAGTTACTCTGGGAATAATGCCATACTCCGTTTCACTGAAAGCACAATGTAGACCAGGTCCAAGAATTGTGTATGTCTTCCCTGACCCAGACTGGCCATATGCAATCACTGATATATCATATCCTGCAACACAAAGTAGTGTCCTGACATATGACCACCAGAGTAGTAACTCGAGACAGACTATATAACCTTTTTCTGCACTCATCCTTTCCATTTCATTATACAATATCCTCTTACCTCAGAACATGATAAATAAAGTAAGCAGCTGATACAGCATCTCATCATTAACCACCAAATATTTACATGTATGCATATGCCATGCAAAAACTAATTTTAACTGAATTCCTTGACCACAACAATAAATGGGGGTGATGTTACTTCAGCTTCCAGCTGCTTTATGCTTTGTGAAGAACATATTTTCAACTTTTTGATTTAACATCCACCTCAAAAGCTCTAGTGTCAGCTATCATGGACAGCATATTGACTCTTTTGGTATCTTGTCAAATGTAAACCAGCATCTCATCATTATGAGAGGTCCAACATCTGGACAGTTCACATTTCTTCACCTTGTCACCATTTATAGGTACATTCTGAAGTGGGTGTGTTGCATAATCCCTTAACGGATTTGATCAATGTGTTGCCAGACAACAGCAATGTAAACACGAATACAGGCAATAATAGAAGGGAAACTGTGTTTTCTATGTGGTCTGCTTCAGGTTGGCATATGGAGCTGTAGGAAGTCTAGTGCCAGGCAGGAGTCCACCCGTGTGGAGGCGGGGTGGAATACCTCCGCCGTGACCCTGTGAGTCATAGAAGGCGATGAAAAGGGAAGTCTCAAATCTGAGACAGTAAAATATGGTCGCGAGTCTCAAGGGACTTGGACCCGAGAAAGACTGCGCTGGCAAGGGTCAACAGCATATATAAATGACAGACTCATCCTCTCGTCAGAGAGGGTGTCCCTCAAAAACAAGACCGTAAATGTCAAACAGTAATAAATATCTGGTCATGAGCCCCAGATGGGGCTCGACACCAAGACTTACTGACTGACTGACTGACTGACTGACTGACTGACTGACTGACTGACTGACCGTCAGTCGCAATGTGACTTTGACTATAGTGCCAGACAACGAAGCTGTAAACATATATCCACAACAACAATGGGAAGTGTTTTCCATGAGGTATGTGCAAAGGAGTTATCTTAAAGAGGAGTGGCGCTACGAGTCAGTCAGTTCTCAGTAGGAGACAGCCACAGAACGTTCACAGAAGCTCTGTGAAGGCTTAAAGTGTGATTAGAAGACTTTATTCATGTGTAATATGTGGAGTGATTTGGAGTGATTTGAAGTGCTAGTTCCTTTGTTTTAATTGCATTACCAGGAGAGGACTAGTGTGTGTAACAGTGAATTCTAAAGTGTAGAAACAGCGATAGCACTGCATTAATTGTAATTAAGAAAGAGAGTGTAACCAGAATGCTAATAAAGCCAACCATCCAAACTAGAACCCTTCATTTTCATCATGTGTACCACACTTAATGACAATCCGATTCCCATTTCTGCAGAAAAAGAAAAAAAAAAAAACTCCGTAGCTTGAGTTCTACAGTGAACTATACCAACTGAGTGACCGCCGCTTGTCAGCGAAGTTAGTGTGAACTTTAGCGGAAAGAGGGTCATGTGGCCATGGCCACTAATTTCAGCTTTCTAGACCAGAGCTGCTATTTCCTTGAAATATCTCCTCAATTATCCTCACGAGGCTGAATGTACCATGCTCCAGACCCACTACTTTTCAGAAAAACTGGTAGCGCCGGGAATCGAACCCAGGACCTCTGGATCTGTAGCCAGGAACTCTGACCACTAGACCACAGGCAACAGCTCATAATTCACGTGCTGTTACGTCTCTTAATTTTCCATTATCTTGATCTAGGCAAGCATTGCACAGTGCTGTCAAGTCAAAACACTGCATTGGCATTCATTTCTTTGGCTATCACATCATATAATTTTAAAGGGAAAATTCTGAGAAACATTCAAACAGTAACAACTCAGTCAGAGCACCCTTTTTTTTCTTCCAGCTGAACTGTGTATAGACTTTCTAATTTACTTCCTTTTCCAGTTGGACTATATTTCATTCCAACAACAACTCATTTCATGATTCCCTCCCTACATTGTCACATTGCTACTACTATCCTTACATTCATCTATTTTGTCACTATTAATATTTTCACTATAATTCCATTCACATTTCAAATCATGAAATAGTAATCCTGAAATATCATCCACTTTCATTTCCCTCCTTGTACTCTTTACAAGGGTAAAGTTGTCATATATTTAAATAAGCAACTAACTAACTAAAATTATTAATACACGAGCCAAATATTTATCTAATTCAATTTGTAAAATATAGACACAAATGCAAAGAGGCATGACTGAATTGAATTGAATTTATTTACATTCTATAAATCCTAAGTAGGTTAGTACCTTTGGATACAGAACAAGTCAAAAGGTTACATACATAAGTACAGGCAATTTTAGCTTAAAAATTAATATAACTTAATTTTACATCATTCTCTATTTACATTGAAGTATTCATCTAAAGAGTAGAAGGAATGAGCATGTAGATAATTCTTTAACTCTGATTTAAACTTTTTAGTATCATTGCCCAAGTTTTTAATACTTTGTGGCAGATTGTTGAACACTTTTATGCCAGTAAAGTAGACTCCTTTTTGATATACTGATAAAGTTGATGAGGGTAGGTGGAAGTTATATTTTTGTCTAGTATTCATGTTATAGACATCAGAATTTAATTTGAATTTATCTTT